GATTGTTGTTTTGTTTCCTATTGCTGAATTAATAAAGTTTAGATGACTTTCTAGCTGAGTTAATTTGAATCATAGTTGTCCAGTAGCCATCGGTGATTATGACTAGAGTTTTGACCAAAACCTAGGGTTAGGGAATAAACTAATGAACTTTAATGTGTATGCATGAGTAGAGTGACCATTCTCTACATGATTTAACTCTTATTACCATTAGGGTTAAATACGATCAAATCTTGCTTAATACGAACTGAATACTAATTTGCATGATTGTTTGTTCACCTGATCAATGAATTTATAGTTTTGTTGAAATCAAAGGATTAGTTGTTATGACGATGACACTAGTCATATTAGGAGTCGGTGAATAATGAATAAATATTCATGGTATTAGTAGTTAACCATTAATTTGAGATGAAATTTATCTAAACCAAAGTACTTAAAGAAATTTGTCTTCCAGTCAGTTTATTGATATTTGATGTTAAGTGGTATTCAGAGTATTTAATAAAACAATTCTTTATTGCTTTTGTGTGTTTAGTGTAACCTATAATCAAAAACTCCAAATTAATTCACCACCATTCCCCTAGTGTTCAACACATGTTCTTACCACAACTATACTATTACACGATTAGGTCCACTGCCTAGTGTGTGTGTTAGTCTGGTTGCGATAAATTCAGTTTTATAAATTTAAAACTTGAGCAATAAAAAAAAATACAAAATCACACATCAAGTTTTTGGCGTCGTTGCCAGGGAACGGTTTTCAATTAATTTGGTTTATTTAATTATTCGTTATTTGTTTTTAATTTTTAGTTTTATTTAATTTTTATTTTCGTTTTTAAATAGTCAAAAACATTTCCAATATGCCATAAAATCTTAGTACATTTGTTTTCAAATTCATAACATCAACAATATTATTCCAAACATCAAAGTGTCCCATAAAAACGCCTGAGAGAGAGTGCATGCCGCATCATCAAGCCTTGCCCTTGCCCTTAGGCTCAGATGTACCTGAAACAAATCCACAAACTGTAAGCTAATAATTAGTGAGTTCCCAAGAGTATACCCCACACAATCCACATAATCACATAATCATATTAGCCTATAAAAGCTACATAAACCACATAAGCCATGCATACAACATATCGGGATGCCGTGGTGTCACACCCCCAAACCAGACGGCGTAAACGTCTGGGGGTGGATGACTTCATTTGTAGTATCACA